GGTGTAATTGTCGGATTATTTGGGAAGACATTTGGATTGACCTAGAAGAATATCAATGTAGTTTGACTTACATTGTTTGCCAGTTGATTTCTTACAGAATCAATGTCACATCGAATAATAGCTTCATAAAGTGTTTGCTCTGGTTTGGCCATGGCGTGAGAAGCAAAGAGAATATGATCAAATTCATATCGATATTTTGAAAAAATGCTTTAATCATTAATCAGCAGAGTGACGCCAAAGATTGGTCAAGTCAATTAATTTGATTATAAGTAACCAATAGATGTTTGAGTGCTTGATGTAATATTGGCCAATTCCTTGTCCTAATGAGGCGTGAAATCGAACGAATGAATGTCTAACAAGCTTAGATAATTTGACTGAATGCATCTCGAGCAGAATTTAGTGAAACTTCACAAATAGAGCGTGCATGGGAAAATTCGAATTTCATTTGACTATGGTGTGGTACTTGAACGAGTTCAGTGTTCAGGGAATTTTGTATTGTTGTTGACAAACCTCCTTTCAACCCTGAATTAAAAATGACAACTGTTAAACCTGTCTTAATATCAATGGTCTCTTCGTATTTTTACACTTCCTTGTGGTACTGAGTTAATCTGATGACAATTTGGTACATTAATGGAGATAACCTGTTTGAGAAGAAGAAGAAGATGGGTTTCTACGGACTTCACTTAATTGATAGTGATTCTCTCCCTTCTGCTCCCAAGCACAGCACACGGAAATGTAAAAAAGTTTTGAATGTGAGTTGAGTTTGAATTGACGGTTCACAGAAGTCCATTCCGTTAAGATTCAAGCTTTTGCCAAATCCCAAAATTTCGTGCCCATTCGGTACGTTTTTCGTTCTGTATAGACGTGGAGTGTGGCAAAGAGATGAAGTCTCCCAAATGTCCTTTTTTCGTTATGTAACTTTTTTACTCATTTACTTGTCAAATGCCCAATGTGCTTTATAACACTTCTACTTAAAACAAATAAGTAGAAAATTACTATGTACTCTTTTTATCCCTCTGCTTATGCCAACCAATATATCTAAATGAAGCATGCAATGCCTAATCTACCTCAGTAAAGAATTCTTTTGCTCAAAATTCACCCAAATTGAGACACATAACCTTGAATATTTTTTATTTATTTCAATTGGAAGGCGTTTCGGTAGTTAACTTTAGAATTTTAGCAGACTTCGGGCTTTATAGAGGAGAGGAACATCAAAATGGGAAAAGTCGAAAGGTGGAACAGAAGAGTAACTCACAGATGTAATTGAGACAGATAGACACAAATTTAAGGAAAAGGCAAGATGATTACTGTGAAAGTGGTCGAATATGACATACAGTAATTTGAAGTGAGAAGTCAACTGCCGGTTAAGAGACCTTTTTGGCCGCATGCAGATAGGCACTTATTAAGGTTCGTGCGGGTTACTTTATACTGTGTATACTATGATTATAAGCTCAAAAAACGCTTTAAGCACAATACGCGATTTGCTCATCTATAAAACCACAATAATTCGGTTTCGAGAGCTTTTCCAAGCCCGGAGAGTTTGTCATGCACTCCTCTGCAATTCATATGGGAATTAATTTTTCCACATCGCTATGGCTGTTCTACCGACTATTGAACACCTCTATATTTGCCCAAATTGTTCTTACCGTTAACAGAGTTGAAGCTTTTCACCTGAATATCCTGATTGCAAGCACACCTACTTTATGGGTTCAAAGAGTAGAATGAAGCTAACAAAGTTAACACCCGATGAGGTCAATAAAAGTTCCCTAACACAGGTTATAAAGACGTAAATACCAAGGTGTATTTTGGAGAAAAGGCGGATGATTTCGGAAGCAGGTGTTCAGGAGTAGCAACATGAAAGACTGACAAATGTTGGAAAAAAACTAAATGATTAGAGTAGAAAGAGAGATAAAGGGAGTTGGGGAAGGTGGGGGGTTATATAAAGAACTTGACACCCTCGCCACCATCAATAATCTCCGCCTTGCCGTGTTTCTCGAGGTAACGGAGTGCTTCCATAATCACCGTCTGATCAATTCCATGGAAAGATTCACCCTCAGTATCGTCACCATCGATTATCTCGTAGATTGTGCAGACAGTGTTCCCACGACCAGATGAACGCACCCATTTCTCAATGTCCGCCGCCCAACTGCTTGCCTTACGCCAGGCTATTGTGGCGCTCTTGTGGGATCTACAACGAAAGGGGAAATGTGAGATTAAAGAGTTTGCAATTGAGTGAACTCGTGTGTAAACTCTGTGGCAGATGAGGAGCTCCAGCTTAAAGATCCCCAGTATAAAAAGAACCATAGCAATTTCAAGTTTTACGAGCACACTGTTCAAACAATGGTGTTTGAAAGAGAAGAGAAGGAAAACACAAGGGAGATCAATGCGGGAAAGTCGAAAATCAGAGTATGGTTGTAGGAAAAGGATTGAGGAGGCGAACTTACTTAAGTTAATCGTTAAAAATGGATGATTAACATAGCTGCTGCAATTGAAAGGAATCTCTCATGTTAATTATCATTAGCCGTGAGGCAACTTTCAATGCCTCAACCATTCAATCAACAATAGAGTAAAAGGCCTTAAAAGTAGTGCGATGAGGATAGTGTACTTTCAAAATCTGCCTCTCAAAAAAAACAGGACTGTAAATGACTATGAAAAATACAAGACAGCTTTGATCCCATCATATTCACCTTTATAGGCAAGACAATGTATGGAAAATGTGATACTTGAATAAAACAATTTCTCAAAAAAATGAATAAAAAAGTATCCAGACCTAAAAACGAATGAGCACTGCTCAGAAATTTACTGGGAAATCAAATAATGAAAGTATTAAAAAGCAAAGGATGTCCAAAGGTCAATCATTTACAAAAATCAAGTATACCTATCATTCCATTCTAAGTTGCCACGGCGATGAAGCTCATCTAGAATGGCTTGGATAAGCTGCAAATTAGCCTTGCGATTGATTTTCTGGTTGCTAAATAGGTCTTTGTGTATTGTTACTAGAGATGACACATCAAGATTTGTTTGCTTCTTGTTTTGAAAGTAATTTAACACCAACTGACACCAGGCATCCATCTGTTTTCGACGAGTTTCTTCATTGGGCTGGAGAGTGAAGAAAGGAGGGAAGTTGTATTGCCATGGCCACGTAAATTCCTCATTTTCAGTTACCATTTCCTACAAAGCAGTAGACCATTCACAATTGCAAAAGCTTTCTGAAATCGTAATTCAAATGTGATTAAAATATTAATACATTATAATAAAGATGCTATATAAAATAGAAAAATAAATAACTCATATAATAATAAGTACTGGGGATTAGAGAGAATTAAACACCTTTAACAAGACAGAGCAATGTAAAGTTTGTAGAATGAACTTAAGATCGCTTAAAGATTGACGAAAACCAATATTAGAGAAACGCACAAAGCTACATACCGCTATCTTTATCCCAAGCCTCAAAATGCTTGACCTTTAGATGGCCGAGAACATGCAGCTCATTGGCTTAAATTCTATGACCCCTTATTGCAACTCTGAATAAAATATATACTAAAATTGACATATAATAAGAAGATAAGACAATTCATTCATACTTCAATTTATTTATTTTCACTATCTCTTACTACAGGTTCTTCGGCCATATAAAATATGAAATGTTATTAAAACCTAAATCACCTTTTCTGAAAAACAACTTTTTCGTATTTGTCAATAATCATTATATTATCATTATTATATCATTGATATTATTTTTCTAGTAATTTTGTCCATTATTGTAAAAGACTTTTCGGCTTCACCCAAAGCTTCCGTTTAAAACCCAATTATTTATACTTTTGTCTCTAAGATAGTTCTAAATTTCTTAACTCTTTAAATTAAGGAAATCAAATTCAAAGTACACCATACAATGATATAAGAATATACAGCAATTCATTACATTCATAATCACTATTGCTTAGCACTCAACTAATAAATTCACTGTCTGAAAGCCTTTTATAATTAAAAGTAAAAACTCTGCTGTAGATTTAAAATTAACGCATTTAGTACCTTTGTTTTTCAAATAATTTATTCTGATTAATTATTCGAATATGTTATTTTTATTGAAATCTTATTAAGCAATTGAGTAAAATTAGAACATTTAATTTGCTTAATGGTGAAATTTGTACTTACTTTATAAGAACTTTGGACACCTCTATTAGGAACTCGTCTCCTCTTGATCACAAAATTTTACATCGTGCCAATAAAGGTAAGTTTTAAGGCTAGCGAATTCTCAAAATTGGCAACTGTTTTCATTTACATAGAATGTTCTTATTAAAATACAGAAATTAGTGGACTTTGGTCCTTGGTATTTACAAAGGTGTTGGAATATCGCTAAGAATTATATAAGTAAGTAAATTTCGAGTATTCTATTTAAGAAAGCGCCACTTATTTTTCATTTGAACACATGAGAACATAAGGCAGGGGAAATTTTGCCTTGGTGTAGATACTAATTCAAAACAATGTGATTAATAATCCCACGTTTTATTGAAGATGAGCATATTTGCACCGATCAAAAAATAGAGTCCACTACAGCATACACAGTTATTATCTTCGGGGTATTAAAATAGCAGCTTGAAAATACCTTAAATATAATTACAGTTTGGATGAATGCCACCATCATACTTATGGGTCTTATCATAATTATCACGTTTTAGAAGATAAGATTATCGGCACACTTCCCAATTTAAATAATGTCTGATTTCCTGATTTCAAAATGTATTCCTAACCCCCCCCCCCCCTCCATCCCCTCCCCAAACCCTCTCCTCCCCTTCATATTTCGTCAATACTGGACTAACCTACTACTTATTTTTATTCTGGGTAGTGAAAATTTAGTGCTCAAGTGAGAACTTTAATCTGGCTTGGCTACGCATAGGCAACAAACTAGCCGATATTTTTGGTCAACTTAAACCGATTTATAGTGAATTTTCTGGTCTATGTTTAACATTTTTACTCACGTTATTTTACAATAAAAGGATTTTTTTCCACTGAGTCGTCATGATGGTCAATTCACTGCATTTGATGAACAAAGGCGATTGTGGAGTATATCTACTTTAGCTCTTCTTTAGCGAATTTAAGTAATACTTGTCAGGTGGATGGGGAGAGCTTGCCAAGTGATTCATATTTCAAATTCCTGCTGTCAGGACACCATCATTTATTAGATGGTTGGAACTGTCTACCGTTTAGTATTTTTAACCCAACTGTCCATTCCAAAATTAACACCATTATTATCATGACAATCCTTAAATCAGTTATTATCCAACCAATATGATCACTCTAGTGAAAATTGAGTTGGAAATCTTTCTCAACTTTCCAAATTTATGAATAGGGAAATACCTTAACTGTAAATGTATTTGAAAATAGAATAAAGTAACTTTTTAGTTAATAATTCATTAATTAAAATGTCGGATAAAAATGAGTTTGCCGGCTCCCTCCAACTTATTTACTGGAAATTAATTATGTAACAATTAAGTGTGATTTTGGAGAAAGTCCTTTTTTTAATCAAGTTTATTTTCAAGAATTACTTTTGGTTACCATCTTAGCAAAAATTAGTCAAATGGTAAATGGCCATTTAGATTTGCACCTCCAGTTGGCTGGGGTTGTTTATATCGATAATTAATGTAAATTATCAGAGATAAAGCTCTCATTTACTTAACGGTGCACAAGGAAAGGTAAACCGCGACAGATACTAATCATAGTTTATAACAACTTACTATGAAAGAAACAAACAAACTTTCCAAAATTTTGCCCTATCTGGAATGTGCACCTGCTCCGTTATGAGGCGAATGTGGTAAGTTAAAGTAGACAGATGCAAAACGATCCTTAACTGAACGAAAGATTCAAAATTCGAAGGAAGCATCACATAGGCTTAATCGTTCCTTTTTTTCTTAACGTTTTGGTAAAATATGAAAACAAAAGTTCTCTCTCTTTCTCGATCCTTATTCCTCAAAAACGATTCTTTTGACTAGCATTTTGAACTTATTAGCGGCCTGCAAGTTGCAGGGCTGATCTTGTTTAAACAATCACTGAGTTTAAACAAATTGGGATATATCCTGACTTATTTCTTAAAAAAATGGCAAAAAAGTGATTTCCAAAGTTCATCATGGTTATTGAGTGGTACTATAGAGCCCGTCTGATGAGGGACTTGGGTTCTATTACGCACTCCATTAGTTAAAATTAATCAGTTCGGCTAATTACTCCGCTCATTGGACTTGTAACGAATCGGTGATTCACTCGTTAAATTAACGATCTATTGCCCTCCTCTAAAACAATGCATTCCCCGCTAATATTTAAATCTTTCCTTTAACAGTGACTCCTATTTGAAGCATCAGACTGCATGTCATGGATTTCATCTATGATGTTACCTTTTAGCAAGCGCTAAAATTCCACGTGTGCCTCCACGTCATAAAAGAGCATAAAAGAGCATATAAAATTGATGGCCTCACTTGAACTCTTCAATCAGAAAACAACATCTCGCCGTATATAGTTAATTGTTGTAAGCAAGTTGAGCTCAACCTAGGTTGTTTGATTGTCAGCATTCTGAGAAAAATTGTAATTTAAACAAATCACTACCTCACACTGAAGTAAAGGTGCTGTCTTTAGGGAAATTTAGGGTTATAAGTTGAGAAAACCCATGATGGTTTTAGCGTTGACAGATTTATGCTTGGAAAATCTCTGTTAATCGTATTGAGCTCCAATGCGCCAATTTAAAATCAGTATAATTGCTGGTTTCAGGATAACTTTTCTCGGGCTGAGTATAGACGAATTTGTTTAAAACAAAATTTAATAAAATAAAATTATATATATTAAAATTGTTATAATTTGTTTAATAAAATAATCTATTTAAGAAATCTATTTAAAGGGACTAATAATCAGATTGTATAATAATGAAAACATGCTCAAATTTCCCTTTATTGAATTTCTCCTTGAAGTATAGTCGTATGAAGCCCATTGAAAGATTTCAATCAAATTACAGAAATCAAAGCCTCTTCTTTTGAGCATCCATATTCTCCAGCAAGAATTAGATTCCTTCAAGGGGTCACAGTCAACGTCATTTAAATTTCGTGCAATTTCAATAACATTGGAGAAGTAGCTTGCACTTTCTCTGTCTTCGTCACACACTCCAACAACGTAGAGAGTCTGATCCGATGAGAGGGCTTGATTGATCCTGGAAAGTTCAAATCGTATTTCGCTCCAGTCTGCTTGATCCGTTTGAAAAGTAACGAAGTAGAGGATAATGTCACACGATTTAACCATAGAATAGGCCTTTTCACTGAGGTTTCCTTCATTAATGATAAAGCTGTCACGAATTCGGCTGGATTCTATTGTTCGCCGGGATTTTACTCGTGCATGGAGGGTTAGAACATCCATGAGTATATCACATGAGCCGCCTTCTTCTTTTGAAGGAATGCGAATAGGGATTCCATTGCTAATTGACCCGGGGGGATTGGAAAACACCTGGCGTTCGTCTTGCGCGTCAACAAGGTTCACTAAGTTTCCGTAAAATCCACTCATAATTCCAACACTATCAACGGCAGGACCTAAAACAAGACACCGAAGAATATTTCCATCGAGTAGAGGGGGTCTTTTGGAGAAAGAACGCAGTTGAGCATTTCGATAACGAACCATTTCACATAGATTATCGACAGAGAACACGCTCGATTTTAAGGCAAGTTCACAGAGCTCCTTATCTGCCCATGTCCATCCGGCTATACGATGGTGGAATTCCCTTTGAACACGTTGAGTTGAGAGCAGCCATTTCCATTCTGGAATAGCCGAACAAATATTGATTATATCCTGTAGACCTAGGTACTTGGATATATCTACCACAGTTCCCGAAGGTAGGGTTGAAATATTATTTTTGCTCTCAACACCTGAAGATGAGAGCTGTGTAGACATGAAGTGCTCGGTATAAACAATGAATAACAGGGCCTAAAGCTCTTGACCATGAATTGTGTCACCACTGCACAACCATTGGTGCGCGCAAACTCTAAGTTACCTTGAGAGCTGATTATTTGATTGGAAATAGAATTGAGACAGAAATGCATTAGAACGGGTCAATTGTCACTGTGCTTGGAACTTAATAAAAACTGATTACAGAAAACCAAAATTCGGAAACATGTTTATTACGAAGGCCAGTCATTAATTAATTAGACAAGTAATTTCAAAGAGCTTTAATTAATCTATTTATTTTAAATTCAAATGCTTTTACCAATTGGTGCCATTTTAATAAACTAACAAGTCTATTTAGTAATCTCACAATTTTGGCTGAAATTGTAGCAATCCGTTGCAAAATGTTTTCTACATTCGATGCATTGACGTTCTTATCAAAGGATCTTAATGATGGTTCATACGATGCAATCTTTGCAATTTTTGAATCATCAAAAAAAAGAGGATATTATCACGATAACAAGTACTCCTCAAACGTAATAGATTTATCTAATGTACTTTCACGCCTTAATTCTTATTCACTATTGGGACTGAACAGCAATTAAATCTCTTTCTTCACGTTTTCGTAGGACGCGTGGGAATTTCGAATTCCACATCACACGCGGTGTCAATTAACACTGTCCTCGCCTATTGCACACATTTTTGCATGCTCGTTTATGAGTTGCCATCGCAACGTGGGAGCAAAATCCAATTAAATTACGCGGTTGAAAGTGTTAAATAATGTCATGACATAATTAATGCCAGGCTTATATATCTAAATCATCTCAAACACCGTACTTTTTCATGTGAATTTGTAATCAGCACACATGGACCAGTAAATTTTCAACATCATTACCAACTATGTCTTCAAGTTCTTCCAGCAAACGTTGGAGCTCTGATCAACGTAGCCCCATGCCTTACACACTTATCTACTTTACTATCCAATAAATTTTAAATGATTGAAAACTTTATAAATTAGCTAACTGCATTCTTACCCGTAGAAGACGGGTTGTTGTTAAGCTTTTAATTGCAACCTAAACATAATATGCATTTATTTATATCAAATGGCAGGCATTATGATAGTTATCATTAGCCTTTTAATTGACTTCGGACCTCATTGAAAAGAAGGAACATCAAAGTGAAAAAAAGTCGAGAGGGAGGTGGGGGTGGGGGGAACAGAAGAGTGATTCACAGGTGTAAAAGAGACAGATACAAAAGTAGAGAAAAAGGCGAGGTGAGTACTTTGGAAGTGGTGGAATATGACACAGTGGGGTCCTTGTAGTTTGAAGTCGGAAGTCAACTGTCAGTTTATGAGTATACATTGCCCAGGGTGCGCCACGTGGAGGTAAGTCAATCACACACCCCACCTAAACATAATATAAAACTTTACGATTGTCACCTTTCCATATTGAAATGTATCTGGCAACTCACAATTCGCTGAAAGTTGCTTCATTGAAAGCGAAAGCTTTGCTTCCAACAATTTTTCAAGGTTGGAAATGACATAACGATGAAAAGTCGAAAATAATAACCACGCCTATACATAAGTGTCAAGTTGGAGATAGTGTTTTATTGTGAGAAATGCATTTTCTTGTTTATTTTGTCATTCAGAAAAAGGAGGAGTCCTTTGGCGGATTGCTACACTAATAAAAGCACTGACTTAATCGCAGTTATCCCAACGCCAAGATCTTCTTGTTTGAAAGACTCCCAGAGTTAGATAAGCTGCCTCAACAAAATGAAGAAGAAAACAGACGTATTGTGGGCGCCATTTTTATTTGGGCTCTGTGTTTGAACTTAAAGGATATGGAGCTTAGTTATTATATGCAACTTCGTCTACAACGACTCTGACGTGACTATTACCTGACGATTGGCTGAGAGGTCTATGCATCACGTTAACAACGTTCCAGAATGTTCGAATGAGGTTGGGCTTCTTCTTTGATTCAGCTATGCCACCGTACTCGCTAACCACACAATCTTGAATTATATACACATGCAATATTTTTATCGAACTTTGCGTTTATATTATCTATCCGTTTGTCTATTTCAAGGTTCGGTGCCAAACTAATTGTTTTCACTTTGTTCACCTCCTTCTGAAATTGACCATAGGTCTTGTGGCTGGTGGTCATGGCGATACTAATTTTATCGGTATCTCGACCCTCCGTCTCTTGCCACAATAAAAAGAAATCCCTCGTAGATATAGTGACTTACGTATTATTAATTACCACTTGTTTAATTGTTTTTGTGTTTGTGCATTTACTCAGTTATAATTGTTACAATGAATTGAGACATGATCTTGTCAAGACGTATTTTTGGGGGACGTTTTGGGCCATCTGTAAATCAGGAGAATCGGCGAGATCGATTTTCACCTTTGTACACCATGTTTGATGAAAAACGATCACAGTAATCAATTCAAAGCAATTAAGGTATAAAAATGTCAGTTTTCATAAGAATGACTACTAGTTACCCCTAAAAATTCATATTAACCATAACATAAACGTATCATTTAAGTTAAGGGGCCTATCCTTTCAATGATGCTTTCTTTATAAAATATTGCGAAAGTTTAACTATCAAAGTCATTATATATTTTAAAGGTATGGGAATATAGGAACATATAATTTTGCGTCACCCAATGCATTTGTATTGCGCAAAATAAAAATTAAAAATGCCCTACTTACACTTTTAAGTAGCAATTATTTTAAATCTTAAAACATTTTTATGCAATTTAAATAAGGTTGTTAGCAAACTATCTCTAAAATATTCAAGGTAGACTAGTTAGTAGACAATTTGGTACAATGATGAGCTAACTGATCCACAAAATCTTACCTAAAAATTTTTTAGAGGAGTAGCATTAAGATGGGAAAAGTTTAACTAGTTCATTTACATTACTTAAGGAATTAAGATCAAAGATATAAAATTATTCATGCCAGCAAAACAGCGATCATCGTTGATTCACTTGCTTTAGAAAAGTCAAACCAGTCCTCTTTCTAGTCGTTAAACCGGGGATGGCGTCTTCATTTCCATTAACCATCACTAAATTTAACTGTTGAATATCTCTCTAGTGTCTCCCTGATGGTCTAGCGGTTAGGATTCCTGGTTTTCACCCAGGCGGCCCGGGTTCAACTCGCGGTCAGGGAGCGACGTTTTGGGGTATGCGATAGACTTACTTCTACGTGGTGCACCTTGGGAAACGTATACCCCTGTGGGAAAAAAAGCCTATTAACTGGCAGTGGACTTCTGACTTCAAACTACCATTACCCCACTGTATGTCATATCCGACTATTTCCACAGAGCTCACCTTACTCTTCCTCTGCCTTTGTCTCTGTTTGTCTCTTCTAAATCCGTGAATCCCTCTTCTGTTCCCCAATCAACTTTTTGTGACTTTGCCTGTTCCTCCACTCTGTGAAGGCCGAAGTCAGGTAAAGGGCTAATGATGACTATCAAAACGCCTGCCATTTGAAAAAATTAATATCTCTCTTTAAAAATTTTTTTCAAGATCTTCCGATCCCATTATTGCTTTTTGGATTTAAATTGAAATGAACAATCACTTGGGCTTTAGAGAAGTCTGGATTAACCATAATTCAGGTGCTAACTTAACAAATTTGTAATCTTTCTATGATTTGAATGACAGATTGTAACTCTTGGCAACACCTTCTTACTTTGGTTCGGTCGCTGGTTATTCATGGATCCGACAAAATGCACTATTCCTGTGGGGTGTCAAAGTCATGTAAGTACTTGTAATAAGTAGAATCTGCTGAGAAGTTGTGTGTTGTGGTAATGTGATAGTAGTGTGTGCACTTGTGAGAGCAGAAAAGATGAGTATGCAGACTATCAGTCTAAAATTAGTGGCCTGCGCGACTGACCATTCTGTTGGCCTTCGAGAAGTAAAGATAAAACCATAATTGAAGTTCCTATTGCAGAAGTTCAATGAATTTCTAGGCTCTTTCTTTGGAAACTATCTATACAAGTATATTTTGAATGATAATTGCGAAAACGTTTAAACATTTGACTCCAAGCGCACTGACTTCAGAAACGTAAGTTTTGTGTCATAAATTGAATCAATAAAATTTTATAGGCAATAAAACAGGTCTCGCCCAATTTAAATCTCATAGGTACTTCTCTCTTTCCACTGTTCAATTAATCAATTTTGACTCAAATAAATTGGCTAAATCATGGCGCCTGAGACATCGGATTGAAGGCTTTTTCATGCCAGACTTTCTCGATATTAATCCTTTCGCTGCTCTAATTACGGAGAATAACTGAATGGTTTGCTCCCATGCAATTTCACAGCCTCCCTCATATAGTAGAATTCTTAGTATTTCAAAGCAAAGATAATTATGACGTTTAAGTTGATTTAATCCATTCTTTGTTGCAATAGGGCCCCCATGCATAGACTTTGAATCAGCGTCCACATAAATGATCAGATGCCATTAAATAGTAAACTTTTAAGCGACCTTCAATCCTTGTGTGTTAAGCATTGTTATAAGAAGCGATAAAAACACCAACCAATAATTAAAACGGCGCATTCTGATTGGCTGCCTTAGTCCGTTAAAACATAATGGACGCATTTTACCCTTATACTCTTATTCAACTGAGCGATCAGCTTCAGCACTATGGAGGATACGTTTAATGAGTTCTGCAGTTCTGTTAAAAAGGGATCAACAACCTGCACTGATAAAACTCTCAAGAAAATCTGCACGGACTGTAAGATCTACTGCAAGGGAATGGACGCGAACCGTGTAGATATCCAATTTAGAAAGCACCTTGGAGTGGGCAAACGTGACGTCGATTACAAAGGATTTTGCAGCTTTGTCGAAAATGAACTAGCTGATGCCTACATGGAAGCCAAAAACATCGATAAAGAAACAGCTATCGCTGAGCTCAAATTAAAAGTTGCAAACGGCCACCCCGAGTCTCATGGAGTAGCTACTGTGAGTAATGATAGAGTAACGGCTCGACTCACTGATCACAAAGCCTACACCGGCACTCATAAGGAGAGATTCGACTCCGAAACCGGTAAAGGAAGAGGCAAGGAGGGGAGAGAGAATGTTCCTGACAAAAAAGCCCAACAGGGCTACGTTGGCAACTACAGGAACATGGACACTTATGATAAGATGCACAGCAAATAATATCGATTTTTCCTTTGTAATGTTTACTTCTTTTCAGTTGCATTTGAATTATCTCCCAAAATAGATTACTTCGCATAAATCACCTGTTTCTTGTTATTTGGGCGTAATCTGCGATTTTCCGTTGCCACCAGATTTCAATGGTTGTCTTGACAACTGAAGTCATTGTTCTCAAAGTTAGTTTTGCCTATTAACCAAAGCAAACAAATACAATACTGTTTTAATATCTGTGCTATTAATTCTTGAACTATTTATGGGTATATTCGAATTGTTGGTAAGAATAACCAACAGAAATTTTTGTAAGTCTAGGAAGATGCAAATCTGATAATTTGCCAAAAAACTGATGGGTTATGGTAACATCGACAAAAATAATTCAAACTTTTAAGGCTTACCCCATTCCACGTGACAATCGTTTTCACTTTTTTGCCAATTTCATATTAGGCAGTAAACGTGTTCTTCATAATTAGTCTCTTTCATCCATAGCTTCGCCTACGGCTTAGATCGTTCAGGGAGACTAGCTAGATATAGGAGATATTGCCATAGAGAGAATTCTGAGTCGGTCAAAACATTACTAGTGTCGCAATTCGCAACAAACTCAGCAAAACGCCATTTATTCACTCTAAATTAAATAACTGCGATTTTAAATGTAACGATATATTTCGGCATAGCAAATGGAAAGAATTGGATCGAAAAAACCCAAGGTGGCTGCATATTTGAAGGTAATTTGGTAAAGGAAAATGAAATTATTGAGTAGGAGTAAATAACAAAGGTGATGAAATGCATTCATCATATTAGGTAATACGTATCTTCACCTTAGGGACACGGTTTTGCCTGAGAACACTAAGTAACTGGATCACAGCATATCTTTACTGTAATGTTCTAAATATCCACTCAACCCTTAAAATTAAAACAAAAATTTATGTACTCACCTCAAATGGCAGGCGTTTTAATAGTTATCACAAGCCCTTTAGTTAACTTCAAACATCATGGAGGGGAGGAACAGACAAGGAGAAAGATACAGCTGAAACTTTGAACAGAAGAATGATTCAAAGATGTAAATAGACTGACCGACAAAGAGAAAAGGAAGGATTGGTGCTGTGGAAGTAGTCGAATATGACATACAGTCGGGTGATGGTAGTTTGAAGTCAGAAGTCAACTGCCGGTCTATGGACTTTTTTGTCGTATGAGTATACGTTTCCCAGAGTGCAACACGTAGAAGTAAATCTATCGTGCAACCCACAAAACAAATAAAAGTTCTACTTTTATAAAATAAGTAAACATGTATTCATAAACAATCAAATAAACTTCACTAAATCAATGTCACCTCATGTGAAGGGTAATATTTGGTAAACTTCACTACAAGCTATTTATTTTATTCTTTGTTCATTCTTTCTATTTGTATTTCTATTTGTATTCTGTTGTTAAACTCATCCTAAAGTCAGGCACTACATACCTACATACATTGAAAGCATTCATCTTATTTCCTAATAATTAGATTCAATAACACGCCATTCGTGTTTACTTTACTGAATAACACAAGACTAATTTTTAGCATTACAGATGAAATATTTGCAGTAAAATCATGTAAAGGAAGAATATTTGGGGAAAACGAACTATATCATATCTTCTTGTGTTGACAAAATTTCAGTGGTCGCACTTCATCAACTATCTTTTGACGATGTTATGGTATTTCCAAAGAAAAACAATTGCCAATATTTTTAATGCTATATCGAAAATAAAAGTGTTTCATTAATAGTGTATACTAAGAAATACGCCTCCTCATGGTCACCAAAAACTTTACAGTTGTCTGCTCTTTCTAAATCCGAATGTTGTTATAACACAAGCAAAGTTTCACTTCATACTGTTTGGTCTTCGTAATGTGGGGGTTTTTCTGTACCATCACGCCAATTTTAAGATTATCAACAGCCTTTGAGTCATTGGTTTCCTTAGGCGTCTTATGCACTATTCGTCTTCCTTTTATGGTAAGCTCCACTAACTCCCACTTACAGAAAGAAAAAACTGATTTCCTTAGGCGTCTTATGGAATATTCGTCTTCCTTTTATGGTAAGCTCCACTAACTCCCACTTACAGAAAGAAAAAACTGAATTTTGTGCAATAGCAATAAGCAATGTTAAATAACTCATCTTAATAGATCTAATCATGAGTAAATCCTAAACGCCACTTGCATGTTACACGAAACAAATTAGTCGGGATGGTAAAACCTACTATGGGAATAATTTAAGGAGTAAACAGGATCCGCGAATTTGGGTCATGACTTAGCCTTGTTTGTTAGCTGCAAACAAACAGAGCGTTATAAATCGAACCTCTACTTCCTGTAGAAGTGTAGTCTATTCTGACTTAAACAAAAATTGCACCTCTTGAAATCCAGACCTAGATAGCAACTAACGCCTTTCTGATTCCTTCGTCAAATCGTTTCTCGCCATTAAAACTCCCTCATGTCTACAATAGTTCCGGGTCAAGTGTGTGCCATAGTCACTTCTTCGTCTTTTGGAAGAAGAAGAAGAAGAAGAAGAAGAAGAAAATGTGGCGCATGAAGTGTGCACGACAATCTACTTGACTTAATAAACTGGCCTATTCAACTTGGACAAGACAAGCATCAATTCACAATCAGGCGCCAAGTGGATTCCTCCATGAAATGCAAACGTTCGATTATTTTATCACGAATTTAGTTGAAAAATGGTCTTTCTGCTGTCCACGCTTTATTCCCCATTTCTATTCGTCGCTTTTCTTTCACGACTCTCTACTTTTATATAATCGCTTGCTTTTAGGCACACATTTTATATTTAACGGGGTGTGCGATAGACTTACTTCCAAGTGGTACATCCTGGGCAACGTTTTCTCACATGACAAAATAGTCAATTAACCGGCAGTTGATTTCTCACCTCAAACTACCACCACCCCACCTCATGTATGTCAAATTCTACAACTTCCGCAGTATACAATTCGCCTTTCCTTTTCTCTACCTTCGTGTCTGTCTGTCTCTTCTACATCTGTGAAACACTCTTCTCTTCCCACTCTCGACCCTTTGTAACTTTAATGTTCCCCTCCTCTGTGAAATCTGAAATCGACTAAAGGGCTAATGATGACTATCATAAAGCATGCCATTAAATATGAATAAATAAATATTGAAACAGATGCGTTTATTTTTCAAGAGTGTTAACGAAGGTAAGTTAGAAGATAGCATTATATCGATTTGCGCCTGGTA